CCGCCTCACCACAGAGACGTGATTGAGTATTTCCGTGGTTGTTTGAGAATGAGCATTTCTCTACACTGCTCAAAAATTCCTTATCAACAACAGTTTTCGGTACTTTCCACTCGCCATCCAGAGTTCAAAATTACGTTCCTAGCGTTCTCTGAGCAAAAAAAAACCGTGTGCGAATGTGAGTGGATCCTCATTCCCTCCCACTATGATTGAAGTATGCCCACAGTGCACTCGGACAAAGCGGTCTTGACAACCGCTTTAGTGCTAAGCTGTGACTACGACCCACTCATATCAATAACAAGCTGATATTGAGAACTCGTTTTCAAACAAGAAGTATTTGAAAATAAAACATCAAACTGTTTACAGTAGTAAAATAATAAAAGTGTCATTCGCGTCCACTCGGCGGGTTGCCCGTATGAGAATCCAGAACCGGAAAACCAGGAGGTGGTGCACCAGATGCGACCTGATTCACATACGTATAATTTCGTGGCGCGTGACAGAATTCCCTCCCCCCTTACCGTGTTCTCAAGTTGCATCTGTCTGTCGAGGAGCTCTTGATCGAGTTGCTGCCGCTGTGAGTGATACCTGTACTGCGCAAATACACATGCGCAAAATGAAGTGAACTGCTTACCGTATTGCTCTCATCCTTCTTTTACACCTCTTCAGCTTCGCCGCATGCAGTAGTATCGTAACCATGCAGCTCAACGGCATTCCAATGCCCATCAATATAACAAATGCTACCTGTATAATGGAGTTTAACCACCCTAGTGATATGAAAAACATATTTCACAAACAGCTGTATTTCACCGCGAATTTCACAGAGTATTACTCCACTTCACGTAAAACGGATAGAATTCCGAAAATCAAACAGGAGTGTCCACAACACGAGGACTTCCACCACTTACAAAAGCTTGCGCGTCTGCTGACGATACTTGAAATTCCACAGTACCTGTCGTAGAACAATCAACGCATCTCGAGGAGGTCGTATACACGCATAAAGATTTTCTGCGTCGAAAGGCATCAAAAAAGGACTCAGTTCAATGAGAACGGTCCTTAATAACGAGCAATACAACAATCACGTTCTCCTGCTCAAAGAGCTCAGTTGAGTCGCTTTTCTGAATCCGAAAGAGGACCCCAAGTAGTCTTATCACTTCCACATTTCTATACACTCTCAATATGCCCCCTAGTTCAACGCTTCTTCTCGCGAATTCTCTTCGAATATAGTCCATTAGAAAATGTCCAGGGCTGATCTGAATTCTTGAAGTGTGAGAGGAGACAAATCTCCATTTTCATACCACACTGTCATCAAATCGTCTTTCGTGTCGCCACAGCTAGCTTCTACTCACCAATGAGTTTCCCATTCCGAGCCATTGAGCTTTCATAAAAGCAAAGATAGAATGTATTGCGGTAAAACTGCCGTCGTTCCTGTCCAGAAACATGCTCCGAGCCTAAGTGCCACTTCTAGTTTCACACCCATGAAAATCTCCCCGTTACTTTGTAGCCAAAAACGAACTGAATCAACAGTAATCTCTGTCAGCTCATTCTCATCTCCTGCCATGTTTGCAGGCAACGCGTATTGATCCACGAATCTGCTCAGGCGAAAAACTCCGCCGGAAAAAACTATTCAAGAAAATACCCGTCACACCGATCAACGCCCTCCTTAAACTGCGGCACTTTTACAACTAAGCGATTCACAGTAGAGCAATTCCGACATGGAATGTCAAAACGCTCGAGCCAACCTGAGTTGAAAAATGAGAATTAGCTCTATGCAAAGTTCCAATTGCATCCCACCTGGATTCAATACGACTCGTACGAATATTTTCCTCTTCGGCAGGAGACCTTCTAGTTTCAACACCTAGTGACACACAGAGAGCCGTCGAAATAGAGCATACTGTGAACATGTGTGGAGAAAAACCAATACAAAAATGAAATGCGACTAACGGCTTCTATTCTAGTGAGCTACTGGTTACCTATACTCCTCAGTTACTATTATTAGCACTTAAGCTGAGCTGTCACCGCGATGCAATAACAGAATAAAAATAACAATTTCAATGTTGCAATAACAAGTGCCGACTCAGACATCTTATAGCGTTCGGCTAAGTGGTAGAATACTACAAGCAGCAGTACGGTCGAAATCAGAATAGGCTTCTAAGTTACTATATGAATATATACACATCCATACCAAGATAAACTCTAGAGAGCTACGACTAGCATCCGCACCAACACTACCAAAACCACTCTCCGATGTCCATAAAAATAATAACACACAAACCACCAAAACAACAAATTGCATAAAGTTCAACTCACCGGTGGATCATAAAACTGGACGTCTCCCAGCGATCGCGATATCCCTGTAAGAGTTCGATTACTTTGACGTAGACAAACGTACAACGGCGGGGTCCCTCGGAAACCACCGGTCAGCTCAGGCGACCGATCCAACGCGAAATACTAACAACAAAGAGTTACCACCGCTAGTAACAGATCCTTGCATAGACTCACATATTGTGATGAGGAATTATCAGCTTTTATCGACTCATGTATACACACTCCACAAGTTTCTGTATCAACTGCTCGGCTACATGCCACGTTTGGGGCCTCACTAGCACTCTGTGTTACCGCTAAATGCACGCAGGCTTCGGAACACTTTTGGGGACCGATCAAAGACTCGGATATCTGACAATGAATATGTAGGGAATTATGGTAATCGTGGTTAATACAGTAGTTACACAGTTAATACACGCTTAACCATAGTAATCGCGGTTAATACAGTAGTTACACAGTTAATACACGCTTAACCATAGTAATCGCGGTTAATACAGTAGTTACACAGTTAATACACGCTTAACCATAGTAATCGCGGTTAATACAGTAGTTACACAGTTAATACACGCTTAACCATAGTAATCGCGGTTAATACAGTAGTTACACAGTTAATACACGCTTAACCATAGTAATCGCGGTTAATACAGTAGTTACACAGTTAATACATGCTTAACCATAGTATTCGTGGTTAATACAGTAGTTACACAGTTAATACATGCTTAACCATAGTAATCGCGGTTAATACAGTAGTTACACAGTTAATACATGCTTAACCATAGTAGTCGTGGTTAATACAGTAGTTACACAGTTAATACATGCTTAACCATAGTAATCGTGGTTAATACAGTAGTTACACAGTTAATGCATGCTTAACCATAGTAGTCGTGGTTAATACAGTAGTTACACAGTTAATACATGCTTAACCATAGTAATCGTGGTTAATACAGTAGTTACACAGTTAATACACGCTTAACCATAGTAGTCGTGGTTAATACAGTAGTTACACAGTTAATACATGCTTAACCATAGTAATCGTGGTTAATACAGTAGTTACACAGTTAATACATGCTTAACCATAGTAGTCGTGGTTAATACAGTAGTTACACAGTTAATACATCATGCTGAACCATAGTAATCGTGGTTAATACAGTAGTTACACAGTTAATACATCATGCTGAACCATAGTAATCGTGGTTAATACAGTAGTTACACAGTTAATACATCATGCTGAACCATAGTAATCGTGGTTAATACAGTAGTTACACAGTTAATACATCATGCTGAACCATAGTAGTCGTGGTTAATACAGTAGTTACACAGTTAATACATCATGCTGAACCAATCATCTATCATGTAGCAACCTATAACGTTTTCCCACATGGCTAGGGATCGATTTATCAATAAATCTTCCATATAAATCCATCACATTAGAAACACACACCACGCGGTTTCCCTTACCCCAAGTGTGATATTCCCCACAAGTGTATCAGAGAACTTCTGGTAGACTACAGGAACGGGGAACTCCAGCAAACCGTCAATTCCGACGATGCTCGCGAAAACCACTGCTACCACAAACCGCCACCGAACCATTCAAATGCGGAGGAGTAAGAACTATAATCGATCGAATCTCCAATAGTGTAAAATTTTAACAAATTTTACGAAAATTTTTCTCCGGTTTCTGAACATCCAAGTCGTATATAAACCACTATAATTATTCACAAAAACTCTTTACCTCAGCCGAGAGAAGCGATCATATATTCCAACACTAGTATTAAGGAACTCAAAACCACCCGATAAACTCGATAATACGACAGTCTACGATGCTCAATAACACAACTGTGGTAATAATACGATGTGTGAATACTCTCTCACAAAAGCCCAGCAAAGGGGTCTTCATCACCCAAATTTCGAACACCAAACCGCTTCGGATCAGCGCCAGTCTTCGTCCCATTAGCTGATACAAACCGAGACATGCCAGTGTCAAAATTCTGAGAAACTTTCGGGGGAGAATTTTGATTATAGAGATTAGCCAAATCAATTGTAGCCAACTGAGACGATTGCTTAGGCGGAGCGAAGCCGAAATCATCCGCGCCAGAGCTGAGCAGATCGACGCTGGTATTCTTAGTCGCACCACCCAACAAGTCGTTCTGTGGGATCTCTGGTGACGAGCTTGATGTAAAACTGCTCGTTGAACTAGGCGGAGCGAAGTTCTCATTTTTCCGATTTTTCATCGGAGCAAACGGGAACTCATCAACTGGTCGAATCGGCTGCACAGGTGGTGGCGGCGCAGCTCGAGATGGCCTGAGTTATTCAAACGATAACTTCAATCTTGTATTAACGCTAAACAACAAATTTCCAGCGCTCTCCTAGATAAAACTACGCATATATATACCTGTGAAAATTCGAGTCTCAAAGCTTTATATACAAGTTGTGTCACTGATATGCTTCGCAATCTTTATGATATTCATACGATACCCACGCTCAGCTTGAGCGGCTCAAGTGAGTTAAATTCAACATGTTTATCAATTCCATAACTCTAAGAAATATTCCTACTCGAACCGTAATTTTGCAATTTCGAATTTAGTTCCGCAACGAGCGAGACCTAGCTACAGCACGGCAAGAAGAAGTACATGAAAAAATCCCCAAAATTTATATATTATAAATCACGAGATGCACGACCAGTGTTGGACGAACTCATATCTGCTTTCTCCAGCTCAGCTCGGAAATTTCCTCACTAATTATAGGAAATCCCATATGAATTCAGGTAGAAGTGTACAAAAACTATCAAAATTTCCTCAGCATTTTCATATTATCACCAACACAGATATTTCCCCACACTCACCGATGCGATGATAATGATGCCCCCGAGGGCACAGGAGCCCCCATAAGAAGCGTGTCGAAGTCCACCGGCCCCGATGAACCCGCTGATGAGGTTGATTTCCGACTAGATAGTGGGGGAGGAGGCGGAGCGGAGCCGCCAAGCGCAGCAGATGCTTCCCGACCAGCATCACTTCGGTGCCGATAACTGCAGAAATAGAAATCAGCAACAGCGTTGAAGGAATAAACCTTCCCTCTCCTCAGCTCAGCTCAGTAGTTTCTTCACTAGTTATGGAAGTTTACACTTTAAAACACCAATAATTTTCACACATGTAGTTCACTATATGCATATTCTCATCAGAGGCCCTCTCCTACTTACTCTTTTTCTCGCCAATTCGCAACTCTTTCAACCATACCACTAACAATCGTATTTATGCGCGACCACTGCTCGTACGATAGATTCTCATTTGCCATAAGAGGCAGCGCACACGGTAAAACCTAGGAAAACAACAAATTCATAATAATTCTAATCCTAGTATACACCCTCACGAAAAGTACAAATATTATCAAAGACTCTCGTGCGAACGAAGGTGATCTGCATGCATACATTGGAGTTTCACCCGTTTTACGTGAAGTAGCGTAGTACTGTGTGAAAACCCCAATATTCGCGGTAGTCGTGAAATATATTTTTTCGCCAGTGTTTTTCACGTCACTAGGGTGAAACTCCAATGATAAATCCTTCCAAACTTTCCCCCAGTTATCCTACTTTAGTCGCCGACAGTTTAGCACCGAGATTTTCACTTATCTTCTCGTAAATGTCCCCTAACGCTGCGACTACCTGCAATGTAAAAAATCATACGATAAGGAGAATCAAGCGATTCATAACTCCAGTGCTCGCTTCCCTCAGCTGAGCTCAATGATTTCCTCATCAATTTAGGAATTTACATACAAATTCGGAAATTTTTATATTATCACCAACACATGTGATTGTATATTTTCCCACGCTTCATAACTCACTTGCGCGGAACCATCTGTTCCAGTAGTCTCAGTGAGCGCCTTCAACAGAACACCAACAACAGTGCTATTGTCCAGAACCTGAGAGAAAAAATCGTCTCCTCCTCAGTGAAGTGTTGAAATATAAGTTCGCCTTCCTCACTAATTATACGAAATTCACATACGAATCCGGGGGAAAAATGTACAAGAACCAACAATAATTTCCCAAAATTTCCTCATAATTTTCACATTCTCATCAACATATGAAATTGACCATGTGCATATTTTCCCAGAGAATATATGTTCGGTTTCCTCAACTGAGCTCGTGAATTCTCTCATTACATTAAAAAGAGTCCACATACGAAGTGTACAAAAACCAACGATAATTTCTCACATATTTCCAACATATGTAGTCGACCATGTGCATATATTTCCACACACAGAGAAAATAGTAATCTCACCGGGAGCATTTCTTGAATGCATTTTATGATCAAACATCGGATTCTGGTGGAGACACCCTCATTAGCGTCAGTCAGCATCCTCAACATTCTCGGCAACAAGACGTGCTGCAAAGTAGTATACTCGAATCGTCGTTGTAGTAGAGGCAAACGAGTAAACACCTAAAACGATTCATAATGAAATACGTAATATACCCCCAAGCGGTATAGGAACTCATCAGCATCTCCCAAATGAGCTCTGTTGTTGAGCATCCCAAGAAATCAAACCGCGCTGCTGAACATATGCAATGATTGGATACAAACTCATGTAGAACTCGAAAAAGGCTTTCTTATGGTACATGATTAATCGTATAACTCTAGTTATTCAAAATTAGGGGGATGTGCAGGTGGACCTTTTTCTAGTCGGCAGCAAAGACCGCTTATAGTGATATTGTTATTTCAATATCTGTTACCATCCATAAAACAATTCTCGATAAAATATAATTATACAACATTTCATACAACTTTCACCCGTACAACATAAAGTGGCGTAATACTCCATGTTAATTCCGTGTATATTTCCGCGACCGATAACACAATCGTTTTCCACGAGTTTTTACTAGTGTTTTCCACATCGCGAATGAAACTCCATTACACTATTAACCAGAAGCACGTGTTACCTCCTGAATGATAGTATCCTCCTTCAACTCGATACACCTCAACACAAAGGGTACTAGAACCTCACTAGCGTCATTTGCCGTTATGTTGTTGATAAACAGATCGAGATTCCGGATAAGGATCGTTACACATTCTGAAATGACAATGCTAATACACCAGCAGCATCAGAGTCCTAACGATACGATACGTGCCGATTTGATATGCAACTGCGTGTTAGGAATTAATGATGATGAACAACATGTCGCAATAACAACCTCAAAAGGTTACTTTCATCACATCACATGTTCAACAATGGAGTTTCACGACCCGTTTTACGTGAAGTGGCGTCGTAAAACTCGGTGAAAAATGCGATATTCGCGGTGATATGCAGTAGTCGTGAAATACGTTTTTCATATCACTAGGGTGGTGAAACTCCAATGTTAACATCGTTTATGAGAGTCTACGCATATTTCCTATATTTGCATATCAACTTCACACGCACCATAATAACATTCACAAATTCATTTTTCCTAAACTCACCAACTGATATCTCCTTAGCGCTGAATAGTGGCTTTATGCGAGGCCATATTCTCGCCTGGAAGTACTGCGGATCGCAAACTCCTTCATATTTCAACGCCATCAACAAACACGGTAATGTCGCCGACCACAATGCGGAGAAGGAAAGGGCGAGCTGAGAATTACCATATAACAACGACAACTACTGCTGCTGTTGCACGCATGCACAAAAGATTCTCACATCTGCAAGTGGAGGTAATATTCGTTCCCTTACAAGATGTGGACTAGCAACAAGCGGACACGTTTTGTCGCTCAGCAGTCGAGGAAGTCCTGAAAGGTCACAACTACTTAACAAACTCATCCTACCAGAATCACCCCGAAGTGATTACGATAAAGCAGCACCACCACGATATTTCCACGTCAATGTTGTCTTCGCTTCGCTACATTTTTAAGAAGATAATTCAAATTTCCAGTAGTTCGTTAAAACCAATCGGAAAAAACGTTACAAAAATTGCATTTTTACACAAAAAGTTGGTAAATTATCAAAAATTTTTGGGGAAAAATGTAATTGATTTCGAA